AAATTCTGGGATGTGGGTCATAGAGGATCCTGCTGTGATTTATGTCGGAGAGTGTTTTGCCTATGTTCTCCTCTAGGAGTTTGATAGTTTCTGGTCTTACATTTAGATCTTTAATCCATTTTGAGTTTATTTTTGAGAACTTTACACAAATTTTAACAGGACATTTTAAGCGTGAGAAATGCAGAATTATCTTTAAGGTGTGAGATTATTTCTATTTTAAGTTCTTGAAATACTTTTCATTCAATGTTTGTCTTTTTAGATTGTTTGTGTTTTCAGTGAGTTTTCCCAATTTTAATTGTAGGCAGTTCTCATAATTATAAATTGTTCATGTTCCCATAGTGTATATGTTAGTTATTTGGAAACTGGAGGCCATTTTTGTGATGTCTGTAGAAACAATAATGTCTATAGAAAATAGTCTTTATAATAATGTCTTTATAAAATAGTAGTATAACAAAATGACATTAAAAAAATTTAATTGGAAAATATATTCCAGGTTATAGCACAGAGATAGGTATTTCTGCAGAGCAGTCCCAGCTTTAAGAAAAAAAAAATGGGGGGGGGGGCTATTTTTTCTACATGTGATTAAAAATTTGAGCATGAACTTTGGAACTAAATAATAAATATAAGGCTTACAGTCTTTAAATATATTTTCTGAGCACTATGATATGCTAGCTCCTGGAAACCAGTATAAACTAGCAAGACATAATTTCTCTCTTCTTGGAGATTCCAGTGTAATAAAGGTGAGATTAAGTAAAAAGGCAATTACACTATATTGGAAATACAATGTTGCAAATTTCGTAAGAAGGATACCTAATATAGATGTGAGGTCTCAGAGAAGTATCTGTGAAGGAAGTTACATCCATGAGATCTGAAGAATGAGTCTCAGATGAGTGGAGAATTAATTGGAGGAAAGGATTTCTGAGAAGAGGAAACAGAAATGTTAAAGGATAGAGTGTGAGAGAGATTTTGTTCCTTGCACAGAAATTTTAAGGATTTTAGTTAGTTGGGAATGGCTAGGAGAAAGGATGGCAAGAGATAAAGCTGAGAAGATAATAAAGATACATAGTATGAAAGTTTTATAAGCCAATTTGAGCATTTAGACTTTATCTAAGGTCAGGAGCGTTTTAAGTGAAAAATTCACTTGATCAAACTTGCACGTAAAAAGTCTACTCTGAATGCAGGTATGGAGAAATCATTGAAAAGAGAAAAGAGTGTATTCTTGGCAGAAATTATGGAGGATTTAGGAGTGAAGATAAGCTGACACATAAAAGAAATAGTTAGAAGACAGAAGAGGCAATACTTGGGTCTTGTGGGAAGATGTAAGAATAGAGAATTGAGTGAGTATTTGGCTTGAGTAACTGTGTGGACAAGGGTGTCATTTAGTGAAAGAAAGCAGGAGATTAAGTAGGTTGGGAGTAAGATAATGAGCTCAATTTTAGGCAGGTTGAGTTGTGTGTGTTTTTAAGTTATTCACATGGAATTGGTATGGGAGAATGGAAGGATGTGGGATATATGGAATATATCAGAATATTCTATATGTTCTGAACCTAATGACATCAGAATTTACATAGACATTGAAACTATGAAAATATATGAGACTGTACATGGAGAATGTATATAAATGAGGAAGCAAACTTGTAGACAGTGAACCAATTTTGACTCACGGGTATGTTTTGTTTGCCCATCAAAGTATTTAAGTATATTCTGAATTATTAGTTTCCAGTATTTAAGAACTGGTAGAATAGAGATGAAAAATTGAATTTCCAGCTTTTAATGAAAAAAATTCCTAATGAAACAATCCCAGTCCAGTATTCTTGCATGGCAGTCAGTAATCAACTGAAACTAACAACTTTCCTTTTGTAGGTGGGTAATGTGTTATCATTCACATATGGGCTTCCTGGTGGCACAGGAGGTTAAGAATCTGCCTGCAATGCAGGAGACTCAGGTTCAATCCCTGGGTCGGGAAGATCCCCTGGAGAAGGGCATGGCAACCCATTCCAGTATTCTTGCATGGAGAATCCCATGGACAGAGGATCCTGGTGGGCTAGTCTGTGGGATCTCAAAGAGTTGGACACGACTGAACAACTAACACATTCACATTCATTGTGCTATCCAGTTTGGCACAGTTCTTATTCAGCCTATTGAACTCATTTGCATACCTACCTGGCTCCTGTGGTCTCTTGAATTCATGATCATATGTAATATGGGAATACATTTCAGTCTAGAACAGAATACAAAGGAATACCAGTATTTAAGATATGGGAAGAGAAAGTCCACAAAGGAAACTATCAAGAAGCCATTGTGATGAATGGGAGGAAGAGAAATAAATAGGGATTTTAGAATAACTGGGTATTGTTTAGATGACTGTCCCATGAATTTAAGTTCATTGATAATTCTATCTAAAGCAATTTCTATGAGATTTACAGAATCCATAGTACACAATTGCTTTTTAAAGTAGTTTCTAATGGCCATAATTTTTGCAAAGAATGCTTGGTAGTTTTTGAAAATTCAATGTTGGTGGAAAAAGTCAGAAAAAAATACATCAAAATGTTAATAGTCATGTATAGAAATGAGAGTTTTCCTTTTAACTTCCGTTATCTTCTTTCAGGGTTCTTTTATTTTTTACAATTAAAAAAAAATCTCTTCTATAGCCTGAAAAAGTTATTACAAATAACTTTAACTCTAGATTTTTTTCTAAACTTAAGTGTTTTGCAGAGTCTGATAAGTTAGTTTTGCATATGGTCTAACGTGCTTATGGTCAGAAAATTTGCAATGTTGATTTGCATATCATGACTCTGAGAAGTTCTAGAAAAGAAAAACAAAATATTTGACTTTAATTCAGACTTTCCCAAACTTTTTTTGATATAGAACACTCTTTATGTGAAACACCTTATATATTCACTAGTTTATCGTGGAGTACACTTTGGTATTTGTTGTTCCAATCAAACCCAAGAGACATAGAAATTTTGGTTTATTGGATATTATTAGTTACTACAAGAGAATTGAAGGACATTGTCTTTTATCAGAGGCCTTTATACTATAATAAAGCAGTGCATTTATATGTGAATGATATATTACATATAAATATAGGAGAACTGCAAAAAACTATATAAACTTTTTATGAAGTCTTTTCTTCCTGAACATATCCTAGAATGCAGATAGTAACTCTAGTATCTAATTATTCCAATGATTTACAACAAACAATACATACTACTTATTGAGTACTGTGTTTTAGTATTACGTTAAGTGCTGTATGTATATTCTAATCCTCACTATTATTCAGTAGGTTCACTGCTATCATCTCCATTTTTAAGTGAAAAAATTTAGGACAAAACCACTGATAAGATATGTGATAAATATGTATTTATTAATAATTCTTTGAGTTACTCTAGGGAGTTGTATCTGGGGAACCTGGAGTTACATAATTTGTCACTTTTGTCTGACTCCAAAGAATTTCTAACATTTAAATTTTCTTGTTTTGTGCAGAATATTTGATGGTTTTCATGTGTGCCTAAGAAATAAATTATAACTATGTCAAGTATACTTAAAATAGGGTTAATCTGGCACAATTAGGTCTTTGAAGACAGGATGTGGAAAAATGAGCAATAATCTATGTCATTATCAGTTCAAGTCATGTTTAATCATGATATAATCATACTCAATGGTGGTATCAGTTAAGGTAGGAAACATTAAAAAAATGCCAAATATTGGAATAGGATAAATTTAAAGTCAGATTAGCAGAGCAAAGATCCTTTTAACAATATGCTCTTAGGCTGTTATTGATTACCCTCGTTAACCAGATAAATTAGACATAACCAGTGAAGTAGGTTTCCCCAATTTCTCAGATTTTTGTAAGATAACTATCACTGGCAAGAGTCTATTTGTAGATCAAAGGAGCCCCTGTACTATCCTTTAGAAGCAAAATCAGAAATTTCTTGTCAAAGGAAATTTTCAATTTTATATGTACTTTGCAGTTTAGTTGAAACAGGTTTACGGTATCACCCTTGTGGTCATATAAGTCCTTTTTTCTGTATAAGTAAAACTTCATTTTTAAATTTTCAGAGAAGCAGATCTAGCAACACATAGATAAGCGTATAAGATAATGAAGAATGCCATTGTTATGTGGATCAATGTTCTTAAACCAGATTTTTTAAAATAGTCCCACTTTAGTAGAGTTAGTAGGGAAAAGAAAAATAGTCTTAAAGAAAAACAACCAAGAGCTCAAATTAGTTTATGCTAAACTCCAGAATATTGGGAGTGTATTTCACTGTAATCTTAATTTCTTTGTTTCAGTCTCTAATGGTAAAGTGTTTTAATGTTTTTTTAAAGTGACTCTCTTGAATTGATTTAACAGATCCACAAAGACTCATCCAGGTCCAGTTGTGCATTTAAGTGATAGTCCAAGAGATGAAGGGAAAGTGAGTATTACAATACCATTATTCTTGAATTTATTTTTCTTATTCTTGAATAAAGGTGTTTCTTACTGTTATTTTATACATAACATCTAGTACAGTGCATTAAGTGTAATCTAAAATTAAAACATGTTGAATGAATGAATGAGCAAATGAATGAATGTATTATTTATACTAATAATGGTTCCAAATTGAATCATTAGTTTCACCTAGAGTTAAGTTGATATTTAATTATAGAATTTTGAGAAAGGCATATGGCACATGTGCTGTGTTGTGCTAAGTCACTTCGGTTGTGTCCGACTCTGCAACCCCATGGACCAGAGCCCGCCAGGCTTCTCTGTTTCTGGGATTCTCCAGGCAGGATACTGGAGTGGGTTGCCATTCCTCCCCCAAAAGTTCTTCCTGCCTCGTGATCGAACTCGGGTCTCTTATGTCTCCTGTACTGGCAGGAGGGTTCTTTACTATTAGTGGCAGAATTTTGAGGAAGGCATATAACATGTTGAACAATTTTAGTTCTCAAATATTCTATGCTTAAAGTTAAAAATATTATCAATATCATTAATCATTGGCCCATGTTATTCCATAGTGGTAATGATAAACAGCAATATTAAATAATCATAAATTAGCCAATCTTAATTTTATAAATAGGTAATAATATAGAAAATGTTCTCAGATTGCAGAAATAATTTTAATAATTTCCATTATTCATGATTTTCCTTTAATGATTTGATCCTTGGGTCAGGAAGATCCCCTGGAGGGAAGATATGGCAACACAACAGTATTCTTGCCTGGAGAATCCCACGGACAGAGAAGCCTGGCAGGATACAGTCCATAGGGTCGTAAAGACTCAAACATGACTGAGCAACTGAGCATGCATACTTTAATGATGAGAAACAGGGTTGATAAAAGCTCTAAAGTGTCACTTTCATTATCAATATTGTCTCTTCAAGTGTATATATTTTTGCTAAGTACTATATAAAACACACAAATAAATTATATAGATTTGGTTCTTTATTTTTAAATAATAGAAACTGGATTAACCTAATAAATACTGAGCCTGAAAGACAAGTCCCCTGATAGTAAGAGAAAGTACATTGAATTTCTTCAAATTGATTTATAAATAGTGTAATTCCAATCAAGTGTATTCAGATTTACTTTTTAAATTGAAATTCAGTTGATTTATATTATTATATTAGTTTTGTGTATAAAATATAATGATTAAATATGTTTATAGATTATATTCCACTAAAAGTTATTAAAAGATAATGACTCTAATTTCCTATGCTGTACATATATCCCTTGTTGCTTATCTATTTTATAGATAATAGTTTTTTTATCTTTTAATCCTGTACCCCTAATTTACCCCTCCCCTTTCCATCTCCATTCTGGTAATCACTAGTTTATTTTTTGTTTCTGTGAATCTATTTCTGTTTTGCTGTATATACTTATTTGTATTAGTTTTAGATTGCAAATGTAAGTGACATATAGTATTTGTGTTTGAATAATTTTACTAAGCATAATGTTCTCTAAGTCTATCTGTGTTGCTGCATGTGGTAGAGTTTTGTTTCTTTCTATGCTGAATAATATTTCATTGTGTGTATATACATACATACATATATGTATATACATAACTGCCAAATTCTTTTTATGTGTTCATCTATTCGTGGACATTTGGGTTGCTTCCATATCTTGGGTATCATAATGGTGGTGGTTTAGTCACTAAGTTGTGTCCGACTCTTTCAACCCCATGGAGTGTAGTCTGCCAGGCTCTTCTGTCCATTGAGACTCACCAGGCAAGAATACTGGAGTGGGTTGCCATATCTTTCTCCAGGGGATCCTCCTGACCCAGGAATTGAATCCAGGTCTCCTGTACTGCTTGGGTTGCTTCCATATCTTGGCTATCATAAATAGCAATCTAAAGATTGCATGTGTTCTTTGAATTAATGTGTTCATTTTGTTAATATATATATACCCAGGAGTGGAATTGCTGGATCATATGGTAGTTCTATTTTTAGTTTCTTGAGAAACTTTCATGCTTCTTTCCATAGTGGCAGGACCAATATACATTCTGACCTACATGTACAAGGATTCCCTTTTCTCCACATCCCCTCTAATATTTGTTATTTATGGACTTTTCATGACAGTCATTCTGACAGGTATGAGGTGATATCTCATTGTGGTTTTGATTTGTATTTCTCTAGTAATTAGCAATGTTAAGCATCTTTTCATGTCCCTGTTTGCTGTCTGTATGTCTTCTTTGGAAAAAGGTCTCTCTAGGTCTTTTACCCATTTCTTACTTGGGTTGTTTGTTTTTTTAAAATATTGAGTTATATGAGCTGTTTATGTATTATGAGTATCAATTCTCAGTCATATCATTTGCAATTATTTTCTTCCATTTTGTTGGCTGTCTGTTTATTTTGTCAATGGTTTCCTTTGCTGTGCAAAACTTTTAAAGTTTAATTTAGCCCCATTTGTTTATTTTTGCTTTGTTTCTTTTGCCTTAGGATACAGTTTTTAAGAAAAATAAATATTGCTATAATTTATGTCAAGTGTTCTTCCTATTTTTTTTCTGGGAGTTTTATAGTTTCAGGACTTAATATTATATCTTTAATCCATTTTGAGTTTATGTTTGTATATGGTATGAGGAAATCTTCTATTCTCACTGTTTTACATGTAGTTCTCCAATTTTCCCAGAAAGACTTATTGAAGAGACTGTCTTTTATCCATTTTATATTTTTGCCTCCTTTGCTGTATATCAATTGACCGTAGGTACAAGGGTTTATTTATGGAATCTCTATTCTGTTTTATTGTTGTATGTGTCTTGTTTTGTGCCTGTACCATGCTTTTTTTCATTATTGTAGCATTATAGTATAGTCTGAAGTCTGGGAGCATGTTACCTCCAGCTTTGTTCTTTCCTTTCAAGATTGTTTTGGCAATTTAGCATCTTTTGTGATTCCATATGAATTTTAGGATATTTATTCTAGTTCTGTAAAAAAATAAAACTCATGGGTATTTTGATAGAAATTGCATTAAATCTCTAGATTGTTTTGAGTGTATAGACATTTTAACAAAATTATTTCTTCCAGTTCAAGAGCTCAGAATGTCTTTTCATTTCTTTGTATCATTTTCTGTTTCTTTCTTCAGTGTTTTATAGTTTTTAATGTGTAGATATTTTATCTCCTTGGTTGTTTATTTCCAGGTATTTTATTCTTTTTGGTGGGATTTTAAATGGCATTGTCTTCTACTCTCTGATAGTTCATTGTTATACAGAAAAGCAACAGATTTCTATATATTAATCTTGTAACCTACAACTTTTCTAAATTCATTTATTAGTTCTAATAGTTTCGGGGTGGAGACTCTAGGATTTTCTATATAAAGTATCATGTCATCTGCCAATAGAGTTACTTCCTTGCTTTCAATTTGAATTCCTTTTAGTTATTTTTCTTGCCTGATTCCTGTGACTAGGACTTCTAATATTATGTTAAATAGAAGTGGCAAGAGTCAGTATCCTTGTCTTATTTCTGAATTTATATGAAAGTCTTTTAACTTTTCACTGTTGAGTGTGATATTACTTGTGGGTTTGTCGTAAAGAGCCTTTATTATGTTGAGGATAGATCAGAAGCTAGGCCACAAAACATGTCTCAACAAATTTAAGAGAATGGAAATTATACCAAACATTTTTTCCCACCCACAACAGTATAAAACTAGAAATCAGTTACAGAGAGAAAAATGCAAAAAGATCACACATGCGGAGACTTAACAACATGCTACAAAAAAACCAATGAATCAATGAGAAAATCCAAAAATGCCTCGAAAATGGAAAAACAACACTCTCGAATCGATGGAATCCAGCAAAGAGTTCTTGGGGGAAAGTTTATAGTGATGCAGGCTAAACACAAAAAAACCCTCAAACCATCTAACCTACCACCTAAAGAAATTAGGAAAGGAAACAAAGCCCAAAGTTAGTAGAAGGAGGGAAATAATAAAGGTAAGAGAGGAAATACATAGAATAGAGATTAAAAAACCAATAGACAATATCAGCAAAACCAAGAGCTGGTTTTTTATAAAGATAAACAAAATTAATAATCCTTTAGCTAAACTCACCAAGAAGAAAAGAGAGACAACTCAAATAAACAAAATTAAAAGTTAGAGAGGAGAAATAACAGCCAATACCACACAGATACAAAAAAATAAATATCATAAGAGAATACTACATACAAAATAGTTAGATAATAATACAATAGTTATATGCCAACAAATTGGACACCCTAGATAAAGTGGACATATTTCTAAAAACATACAACTTACCAGACTGAATCAAGAGGAAACATAATTTGAATAGACCAATCACTGGGAGTGGAGTTGAATTTGTAACTAAACAAAAAAACCTCCCAGCACAAGAGCATCTAGGATTGGACAGTTTCACAGGAGAATTCTGTCAGACATATAAAGAAGGACTTATACTTACCATTCCCAAACTATTCCAAAAAAAATATTTTGAAAATGACAGCACACTTCAAATATCATACTACTAGTCTGGTGCTACCCTGATACCAAAACCAGACAAATACATTACAAAAAAAGAAAATTACAGGTCAGTATCTTTGATGAATATAGATGTAAAAATTCTCAGCAAAGCTTTAGGAAACAGAATCCAAAAATATGTTAAAAAAGATCATACGTTATGGTCAAGTAACATTTTTTCCGGGAATGTAAGGGTGGTTCAACATTGCAAATCAATCAGTGTGATACACAACAGTAATGAAAGGAAGGATAAAAAATCACACTCAATTCAATAGAGACAGAAAAAGCATTTGACAAAATTCAACATCCTTTGATGACACAAGCCCTTAGTAAAGTAGGTATGGAGAATTTACTCATTAAAAAAAAAATTACAAGCTGATTTTAAAATTCATAAGAAAAATGAAATGTTTAAGAATAGCCAAAAAAAATTTTTTTTAATGAATAACATTGTGATATTGGTACAGGGCAAAACAAGAAAACCA